CGTTTCTTCCTTCGGTGTCTTCGCGCTGCCGTGATAATGAATGCCGCGAAAAGAATTACGATCGTCCCGGCAGGTCTCTAAATAAAAGCGCGGACAGTCTTTCCTCGGTGATGCATTTCGCGCTCTACCCTTTGTATAAAGTTATTGGTTTTTCTCGCGTACGAACGCCATTTGTTGATAAAGAAGCGATGGAAAGCGAAATTATTTAATAACACACAGGTGACGAGCTTAAAAATTTACATGCTCGTAACTTTTATGGCATAAAACACGAAGTATATTTACGAATTAAAAGACAAAGATGGATTTTCCCGATACTTTTATAGCTTTCTGATCAGTTTATAATTTTTTAAAATAATTCGCTACGCTGAGAAAAATTTCCATCGGATAAACCAACTAAACAGTGTGTCCGTTAATTTTTCCGATTACGTTTTCCGATTAAATTATGGATCCGATGAAATTTTATTGGAAAACCGATCATATTTTTCATCGGAGATACAATTTAATCCGATATATCCGTTTGTTATTATGTAACTGGATTATCCGATTATGTTTAATCAGACATTTTTCTCAGTGTAATCAAGAATTCCAACAGATGAAGAGAGGACCAAGCGTTAATCGAATAGTCACGTTTCGTCAACGGCATTGGTTTTCAGATACACCTTACATATTTAACATGCGTCGTTTAAACGTGAGTCGCGCTTGCTCGGTTTCACTTGACTTTCCATGGCAAATCCACAGCATCAGCGCGGGCTTTAACGAGATGTCCGGAAGCATACCACTTATTTGCGCGTCGTCATTGTGAAAGTCGTAGAGGCTCCAGCACCGGTTTCGTTCAATGACAGTCGCGCCGTTACTCCATCACATTCTACAATGATGACCGGTTTCTCGTTGACCTTTGATTGTCATCGTGTGTCAGTCACCTGCCGCGCGATGACTCTATCGCGGCAATTATCTTTGTGCTAAAAATGGAATTACCTTTCGGCCGAGCGGGGATTTGCGGGAGAAGGGAGGGTTTAAAATTAAGAGGGTGCAGTTAATAATGTAAAATCCAAGATAAATTGGAGATCAACACGACAGTCGGATTTCGAGCAAAATGGGCGAACTCAATTTGTGGATTGGCGAAACGGTAAATTGGTAAAACTCTAGTTTATACTCGCGCGCATTTCGCATGGTTAATGTTATACAAATGTTATTTTGTTGTCGCAGTTTGTGGCACGCGATTTTACAATCTTGACACAGTCTTGGTTAAATATGTCGCGATGCATTTAATTCATTATACGTGAAGTACATTGGACGAAGCGCAATCACGTTGCATATTTAACTGGAACAGATGCATTTCGGTTATATAATAAAATAACTAATGTGTGCAAAGTGTATTTATGAAAGCGCCAACGAGTTTGTCGCGCGTACGTTTCAAAATTTACTGCATTCTAATATTATACGTACATACAGTGTGTTTAAATCGTCTCTTGCAATGTCCCTTTCATATTTTATTCGCTGCTTAATACTGTACGGAATATATTATATTTAAACGGCCGAATTCATTTTTACCGAATGCGCACACAAACTATTGTAACACACTTAAACAAATCATCGCGAGAAAATAAATATTACGTGTTCCAACCGTTACTTTTCTGCAAAAATAGATAGGATTTCTTCGTTTTTGCACCGAAAAGGCTACATTATACTTGAAGCCACAAATTTATTTTTCGCGACACTTACGTTGTTTTTGCACGCATTTCAATGCCGTATATCAGCGGGGAGGCGAATATTTATGTACACGTCAATAACTTACCCGTACTTGCAGTATTTTGCAGCATTTTTCAGCATTATTTTTTATTTTCACGCTTCCAAGTTTCGCCTTTCTTACCCACTTTTATAAGCTGTTTGCAACAGTATTTTTCGCGATGCAATAATCCGACGTGGCAGGTGTGGAGCGTGAAATCGCCATTAAAATTATCACGGCGTCTGTACGTCTTTATCTCCACGATTTGTTTTTTCCCTTTCTATAAAATTACACAGTCACGATATATGTATATATACGGAAGGGCTACGTAAAAGGTACCGCCATATATCGCTCGCTTCCCGCTATGATTTATTTTCGCCATGTGGCCTCTCTGTCGTAACTGAATGTCTCGATGATGAACGCCAACGTATGATATTAATCCGTTTTGCATACTCGCCTCCGCGGGATTCGATGGCGCGAACGTCAATCTTAGCCGTCTTTGATCTCGTTAAAGGCGGATTTGTTACGTAAATGCCACTTGCAGGAGCGAAAGAGCGTGTGTATATTTAGCGCTGAATCCGTTGGTGGCGAGAAGCCACTTCGATCCGTATGATGTTACATGGTTTCGTCTTGAGCTTAAGCTGTCTTTGGAGGTTCGAGGGTTTCGAATGTCGTATCTCGAAATTGTGGGAGACATCCGCCATCATATCGGGCCAATCTCGCCGAGTCCATTTGCCGGGAATAGGAAGCGATATGCGCCGCGATTACCGAGATTTGACATTTTACCCGGCAGGAATTATTTCGAGGGAATTTTATTTTAAATGTTGCACATTTATAGGAGACGTCCCTCTACGCTCGGAGAGAAATTTACTCTTAAAATTCTCCTCGAAAATCATGTAATCGTAGGACAACGTGCACGGAAAAAAACATTTAGCTGCTGTAGCTAAAACTTAGTAAAATATGGACAGCGAATATTTTTAGTTGTGATAGCTCAATATTTTGCTACGACAGCAAACCGTTTGCTGTCGTAGCAAAATATTGAGCTATCACAACTAAAAATATTCGCTGTCCATATTTTACTAAGTTTTAGCTACAGCAGCTAAATGTTTTTTTCCGTGTGGCATTTTGAAGACCTTTGTGAGAATTTTTCCAACTTTTACCATACACTCGCTGAGAAAAATACCCGATTAAATATAATCGGACAATCCTATTACGTAATAACAAACGGATATATCCGATCAATTGTATATCCGATGAAAAATATGATCGGTTTTTCAATCAAATTTCATTGGTAACTGCATCCCATCGGATAAATTTTATCGGATGTAGCCATAATTCAATCGGAAAACGTAATCGGAAAAATTAATCATCAGAAACGTTATTTCATTAGTTTATCCGATGGAAATTTTTCTCAGTGTTCTGCTAGCAAAACGAATACTTAGTACAATTACTAGTAAAATGTATGGTAAAATTTCGAGACGCTCTAAAAAAATTCTTCGAAATGCCAAGTTGTCCCACGGTTACACGGTTTTCAGGATAAATTTTAAGAAAAAATTCTCTACCAATTCCTCGACCAATTCATAGAATATACTTTCAATATGATTCGACTGCTCGAAATGTTATTCTTGCGTAGTTATTTTCATTTTGCAATCAACGACGCATACTCCATCGTTATCGATAATCCGTTGTCATTTCGCTGGCAGCGTCTTTATATTGCAACCGTACGGATCAAAATACACCGGCATAGTAAGTACGCATGAACTTATAGACTGACCTGACATTTCATACAAAGTATGCTCGAGAGCGATATTGCGCCTCGGTGGAGAAATCAAGATATTTATTCCCTGCGTTTGTACTTGCGCTATTTTCCTCCTTCGTACGCGAGCAAATCGACGTACTATATGGGGAGCTTGTACGAGCCGATATCGGCTTATATATATTTCAGTTAAAGTAATATGTTGCTTTTTTATGTATAAACCCGGTGAGACGGTCGTGCTCGAGGATTTCAGCTCGAGCTGAAATCACGTTCATAGCTGTATGTAATACGGTACCCCGGGAATCCTTCGTCAATCCTTTGTTTCTATGCGAAAACATCGTACTTTGAGCATTATAGTTACGCGAGGAATCCGCCGTACTTTGCTCCATCGACGTTGGGAACATATTTGGCGGATCCCCGCTGGAATAAAATTGCCCGAGTAATATCTCCGTACGGATAATAGCGAATTCGATTGTGCGCACTAGTGCGCACTGAGTGCACACTAAGGCCCGGTTTTTCTGGTCAGCTGTTTACCAGAAGTTAGCCGACTCTCCTTTCTAATGTTATTATCTGAGTCGACTAACCTCTGGTTAACAATTAACCGGGAACTGAAAAACCGGGTCTAACGCTTGTTTACAGCAAATTCTTGTATCAAAGAATCGTCTTAAATATCCCTTGAAATATTTCTTAGGCTGACGTTACATTTGTCGCACGACAAGTTTTTCAAACGTGTTGATTGGCTGCAGGGTAGAAAAATTCTCGAGTATCTGAGAGTTTTCTAGCTTGTAACCAATCAACACGCTTAAAAAATTTGTCGTACGACAAATGTAATAGTACCCTTAGCCGAAATGGTCTGTACAGCATCTGTATGGATCATTTTTCAGCTAAGTACTTTCTCAATGTGTATTTAAGATAAAGTGAAATATAATATATCAATTAGCCATAAACAAACCTTGATGTGCACTCAGTGCGAGCAACCGAATTCGCTAAAAGTAATCGTAGTACACACACACACACACGATCCGTTCTTGGCGCGGCGTGGCGATTCCTTTTCCCTTATTCATACGTTATTACCGGATTATCGGCCTTCCGCGTAACGAGCCGGGGGCGAGCCGATATTATGGCACGCGAGAAGCGCCGATAATTACGCCACCCCGCATCCGAGTCCCGCGGAAAAATTTTTCTCGCCCCGATACGCAGTCATCGGCAATGAATGGTTTCGCAAGAGGGGAAGTGACTTGTTTCTCCCACAGGCATATAGTAATACTAGACCGAGCATGTTCTCTTTTGAGCAACGAGGGTTCGGTAGAAAAGGATAGAAAGTGGGTGCCGCGTCAACCCGTCTCCTTTTATTCTTCCCGTTGGCGAGAGAATGGTGGACGGTGCACCTACTTTCTATCCTTTTCTACCCGAGCCTCGGGTCTGGCGTTTCATTCTCGGTCTAGTATTACGATGTCTATGGTGTCTCCACTCTAGCCGATCGGCGAATTGTCAACGAGTGGGGGGGAACAACAATTTCCCCGGCCAGTGTACAACTCTGACGGTCACGATTCATCTTGCAGATCCTGGACGATACGCTTGATACACGATGCGAGCCTGTTCAGCAAGGACGTATCCTTCGAGAGCACGGACGGACCGATATCCTTCGACACGTCGCATTCCTACGTCGGCACTGTTTTGGGTAAGTCCGCTTATTATCTTGTCGCCTTCGTCGATCGAGGCGAAGTTTCGCTCGTGGTGCCTCGACACGACCTCATCGATTATTACGATTAAAGTGAAATAAGTGCATTACGTTATAGATTACGCTAGAAGTGAAATTTCGCGTTTCCCCACTGCACTTAGACAAATTTTCGTCTCGCTACAAACGCGTCGAATTACCGTCTCTCGGCTGCGCCATAGATACGATCGTTTTAATACCGCGCTAATTTTTGGCGAAATTATTCAACAGTCTGGTTAACGCCGTGACTCACGTCTCGCCGCCGGTCGTTTATTTAATATTTAAATGCGCGTCGATAATAGAAATAGTTTAACATAACGTCACACGGATTACCACTCGTGACATGAATATTGCGCGCACTTTCGTCCCGTTCTCTCGTAACGGATTATTCCCCCGAGTTTTTAAAACGTAGCGGTTTGTAATGCGTAATTACTATCGGGAAATCTGTCTTCTCGTTATTTGCCCACGCTGCAGAGAAGCCCGATTATTCGCATTGATTTATAAACGATAAGGTGCAAAACGCGCGCGTCAAAGGAACTAATTACGCCGGCATATAATGCCCCGACCGAGCAGGGGGATCTTGATTCGAGATTACCGGGATAATATCAACAATCCGATAATCTCGAAGCCTCTCCCCTCTTCTCCCGCCCCCTTCGTCCCTCTCGCGCACGCCGTGTGTCAACGTCATAGAGCGGCGCAGTGAGAGCGCCGTTGATAGTCATTGCGGCAACCGGATCAATATTTATACACGCTCACTCCGCGCACCGGAATTACATTGCGTAAACGAGGCGTATTACCGTCATTAAGCCGGCGCGGCGCGGCGCGGGCGCGGGCGCAGCGCGCGATCGCAAGGCGAAAGAGTACGGTGTCAGCACATTTCGAGATTAGGCGTGGTATTATACGCCGACGGGCGCGCGCGTGTCCGCGGACAAAGTAATTAGCCGGTATCCCTCAACTTCAGCTTCGTGATGGATAGCGTGCGGCCGCCCGCGTCCGCTGTTCCGAGGCGGTTTCCGCCGCCCCGGCGCGGCACATGTGCGCGCGTCTGCCTGCATTCGCCGCTCGGTAAGAGCGAGCCTTCGGCGCACCTGAGGGTGCCTCGTTTAATCCTTTGATGCACTCCATCCGTTTCCACATTACTGAAAGCTTCCAACCTGATTATAATCGAAGACCGGTTTCTCAAATCGGCACGCGGCGAGCTCGTGAATTGCGTTAAAACAAGTCGTAATTTAACCTGGAGTCGAAAGACACGCGGCTGATTACCCGCCGTCGACTATTTCACTGACAACGAATGCGTTTGTTATCGAAGGTGCAATTTATAACAAGCATCGATCGAGAAGCATCGCGAAATTTTACAATTGTGATAATAATATATTTATTTCACATTATTTTTCGGGTGCATCCATAACGTGTTACTATTTTAATAAATTTCGCCGTACTTGGGTTTGGGAATGAAAAAATTCGCGTTAAAAAAAGTTGTAATTTAACGAAGAGTCGATAGACGCGGCTGATTACCGCTGTCGAAATTTTACTGATAACGAATGAACGTGTATTGTGATTGTCGAGGGTTTACTCTCCACAATTTGTAACAAGCATCGGTCGCGAAGCATCGCAAAATTTTATAATTGTGATAATAATATATTTATTTCACATTATTTTTCGGATGCATTCATAACGTGTTACTATTTTAATAAATTTCGCCGTACTTGAGTTTGAATGAAAAATTCGCGTTAAAACAGGTCGTAATTTAACGAAGAGTCGAAAGACGCAGCTGATTTGACTGATAACGAATGCACGTGTTACTATTTTAATAAATTTCGCCGTACTTGAGTTTGAATGAAAAATTCGCGTTAAAGCAGGTCGTAATTTAACGAAGAGTCGAAAGACGCAGTTGATTTGACTGATAACGAATGCACGTGTATTGTGATTGTCGAGGGTTACTCTTAACAATTTGTAATAAGCATCGGTCGTGAAGCATCGCAAAATTTTATATAATAATTGCGATAATAATTTTATATTTATTTCACATTATTTTTCGGATGCATCCATAACGCGTTACTATTTCAATATTATAAATTCAGCCGTACTTAAGTTTGAGCGGAAAATAAAGTTTCGTAATTTTTATCGGTTTTTCCTATCGCCTGTTCGAAAACCCACGGGGATTTCAGCGTATAAATAACGGAAATATTATCTCAAAACTCGGAAGTTTGGGTCAGAACTGTTTTTTTTTTTACTATCTTTACATAGTGGTCTTCCGGGATATCCTTTATATCTTAATAAGCCAATATTCCCAAAACTGCACGCGTGACAAGTGAATTATGTGCAACGCACGGGGGGGTTATTTTAACTCCCAAAGTGCATCGGAGGATTAACGCTTTGTTTAACGTCATTGCATAACCGCAGATGGTTTTCCGGCTGAATACGATTTCAGTAATTCATTGAGCACGCCCTCGTTAGTTCGCGTCGCTAATGTGCTCATAAATAATCGAGTTTGTTCCGTGTTACGCGAGTCAGTCCCCGTACGCGAGCGTCTGGTGAAATAATCCTCCTCGATTGGCCCTGGACAAAAACATCATCGTGATTTATTAGTACCGCGTCTAGTTGTGCCCGTGTAATTAACTCGGCGGGGCTCGCCTCGGAGGACGTCGCGGGAAGTTGCTATCAGAAATCTTACGCTCAACTTGACGAGTGTGGGAAAAGACCCTGGTCGGGCGGGCGCTTTATGCCTTCGTAATTTTCAACATGGAACATCCTGATAATTAAACTCCGCGAGGAGAGCTCGTGACGTTGACATCAAATTAATCAAAGTAAAAGCTTTTTTCGCCGCATTACATTATTAAAACTATATCTGTTTCATTAAACTCCTTCGAACGTCGATCGGTCTTTTCATATTTTTTTTATTAATTCCAACCGTACACTTTTCGCAATAAGTAGAAGATGCCCCCGAGCAATGGCGGCTTTTCTCATCTACCGTCGTTTTTAGAATCCTTTATATAAATGGGGGGGCTATTTCTACTGCTGACAATAGGAGTACAATAGATCGTATAACCTGCTAATACTATTTTCAGTCGGGTAATATTGTCACTTATATTTCCTCGTAAAAGAGATTAAAGCTCGGTAAATAATAAATCGATAATAATAGGGAGAATGATAATAATAATAGGCGAGCTCTCCCTCCCCCCCTCTCTCTCTTTTGTGCATGACTGAAAAACAGTCCGTTAGATCGATCGGCGACGCCCTGCACGCCCAACCAGTATCAAATATTCCCCTCGTAACTTTTCGCGACTCTCGTCGCGACCCGGAACGCGAAATCGAGAAATAAATTTCGCGTTCGAACGAGCGTATCTCGAAGCGGGTCGCGTGCGCCCCGCCGCGAACGCATCGGAATGCGCGGCGCGCAACGACGGAAATGCAGGCCGCGCCGTTCTCAATTTCAATTCGAAATTATTTGAGAGCCGCGCGCGTGAATTGCGCGAAACCCCTCCCTGTTTGGCGCGTTGCGAGGAGAGCGAGAGAGGAGGCGGACAATAAAAAAAGAAAAGAGCGTTCGAAATTTCGCCGAATTCCTCGGTCGTTATTACGCGCGTTTTCCCCGACGTCCGCAACGATAACGCGGTTGCGTTGCACACTTTTTCTTTCAAACCGTCGCCGCGACAAATTATTATTTTTTTCTCCCCCTTTGTTCGGCAAGTAAACCGTCGGCGGCCGATTGCTGCCGATCTCCCGCGGATCGTAGCCAATTGACGTTTCCGGATGGCGCGTTACCTCGCGCCCGTCGTCGCATTAAACCGGGAATCTCATTTTCGTCATAGCCGTCGTCGTTATCGTAGTCGTCCCCGTCGTTTGGAAACGTGCCAGATTCCCCCTATTGGTGATACACCGCGCGGTTACTGTGTGTCGGAGGGTTCAGGAACGAGGGGGTGGGGCGGGAGGGAGGGTGGCACACGGACCGTAGACTTTCGGTGGGAAATAAACGTTCGTCCACGGTTGTGACTAGAACCGTCGGGACCACGGATTTAACGAGTGAAGAATCTATAAATCGGTCCCTCTCTCCCGCAACGAGAGTGTCCTCGAGTCCCGCGCAATCGTGGCTTAGTCGCCGCGTGAACAAAAGCGTTTATTTTTACCAACTTAATTTCTCTTAGTAATTATGTCGCCGAGAAAGTGAGCAGGTAAACGTTGAAGAACCGACAATTTCGTTTATTCGACTCTCCTTTCAGACGCGAGGGAGACCTTTGTCTGCTTCCTTTCGCGGACATCTTTTCCTTTTGAGGATGTTTCAATATCGGAAATAGCACCGCGCGCACTTGAGAATTTATACTTGCCGTTTTCGTGGACAAATAACGATATTATTTAGGGTCAGTTGAAGCGTGGGACGTTAGAATCGAATCCTCACGCGGACGTTTGGCTTACAAATATTATTTCGAAATACCGTTTTACGTTCGGATCTTTCGCGCTCGATAAGTTACGAGTCGCGACTTCATTTTGGTCGGCTCCGAACTTCGATGGCGAATTAAGGAAGGAAATTTTCCCGCGGGAGCAGGCGATTGAACTGACAGATACGTGAGTACGGCATTGCCCGAATCGGCGATGGTTGATAGTGCATCGTCCGAACCCCGTTCCAGGAACCAGGCGGACACATACATCGGACAATAGAAGCGGAGGAAGAGAAAGACAGAGGGGAGATAGAGAGAAAGAGGGAAGGGAGCAGGGTCTGCGTGGTATAATTTCGGCGTACGGCGAACTAAACGTAACCGCAAGCTCGCGAACGGGCCAGAAACTTGATCGTGAATGCGGCTCCGTTACTTCGGCGGATCGTGAATCGTGAACGAACCCGTCGCCGCCGCCGTTTCGACGATCGGGATTGCGGGGAAGTTGAACCCGGCCGTAATAGCCCCTTGCCGCGGGTAATATCCGAACGTCGTAGTCTTCCCGCGGACGACTTGGGCCGCGGTTACGGCGTC